GGCTAAAGGAACTCTGAAGTGTTTTCCAATGACGAAGCTGCAACGTATATATATATATATATATATATATATATATATATATATATATATATATATGTGTGTGTGTGTGTGTGTGTGTGTGTGTGTGTGTGTGTGTGTGTGTGTGTGTGTGTGTGTGTGTGTGTGTGTGGTGTGTGTGTGTGTGTGTGTGTGTGTGTTGATTCGCTTCATGCGTTCGTTTTTTATATTGAAATGAAATGCGTGACTATAAGGGCACATCAAGCTATTTCTGCAATTCACAGCAGAACGCAGAGCAAGAATTGAACAGAATGAAGAAGCTTGGGTGGGCAAGTAAAAAAGTAAAATAAAAACAATATATATACATAGTAACCATAACTTTTCACAAGAAATAAAATAAACTCTGTGCAAGCACTGTTTCACGCAGAAAACACACATAGCATAGCCTGATAGTGTTTATTATCCTTTTAAATTGACTTTAAGACTAACACGCATATAGAACAGCGGTCTTGTAGAGTCCCACTCATTGTAACTTCTGAAATTTTGGAGCGCATTTTTCCAATGTGTGAACGGAGAGAAGACCAAGGCGCCATGAACTAGGTGAGTCACCTAGCCTGAGCTTTCTTTTCTAAAAAGCACACATATGTCTTGCAGAGAGCCCCCTCCTGCCTTTTGTAATACACCAGCCAGAAGAACATTTCTTGCCAGGGAGGTTGGAACTTCAGTTTGCGCTTACTAACTCAGGAAAAACTGTAGTTAGTGCCTTATTTCCATCGCGTCATAAGCAAACGTCGTCTATGGTCTAATTGTTCTGCAACTCCTGGCGTCTTGAACCAGTGTTGAACCAGTGTTGAACCGACGGTTGATCCTTTTGTAACTGCGGCGGCGTCTGCAAGGTCGTAGAAGGCCACGATGTACCCCGAACAAGGATTAGACTACGAGACGCACCGGCTGAGAGCCAAACGGTTTGACCGTTCCCAGGGGAAAAAGCGTGGGAAAACCTCTGGTGGCCAAGCCGTATGACAACAACCCAGCAGGTTGTCACTCTCGCTAGTTGAGGGCCCTCTCCCAATTAAAAAGGGGTGGGGTCGAAATATTTTTGGGGCGGAGTTTTTATCAAATAAACGCGCATGATTGGACCCATGTAGAGGTCTCTTGTCCCCAAGAAAGAGAGCGAGGAGACACGAGGGGGATTTAAGCGCAGGATTTTGCCCTGTTAGGCAGACTAGTCGCTGACCAACATGGTGTAGAAACGGATCAACAAGCATCTCTTCTAGAAGTTTGTAGTGTGGCTCTGTATCAGCTGGCCAACTAAACTTAGCCATTCGTCTAGTTGTGACGCGATATTAACGTCTGTAACGTAGACATCGGGACTTCGCCTCGAGTTAGCTCAACCTGCTCGAAGTCACCTGCAAGCACTAGCCTCCCGGAGCCACCAGCGTTGCAACACCGCCGACATCGCAGTCGTGCCAGAACTCTCTTCGACTTCTCGCATCCGATCGTCGGGGACGCAACGCGGCCGGTCATCACACGTATGCCTTCACCTGTTTATATCTTCGAACTTTCTCCCCCGGTCTATTGGTGTTAGTTTGTGTAGTTTGTAATAGTTCTCTCGCGTAAGCTGATTTATTGTTCTTATATGTATTTTTAGTTGTATCAAGTGTTGATGTATTTTGTTAGTTGTATTGAAGAGTTGTATTAGATCCCGTGTGCTGCAATATTACTAGAGTAAAGTTTGTTTTGTTTTCTCACGTCTCTGATCTCTTCACTGTCTCTGCTTGCGTACGGAACGAACCAACCTGCTGCCATTCCCGTCGCCGACTTCGCGCTGGCGACGCTAGAGTGGCAGCTTGTAACAACCAGTAAACACGTATAGACCAATGTTGTTGTCAGAAATCACGGTTTCCCAGCATGCATCATGCTCCGATCGGTTTTCAGGAGTCCTTTCGGCACACGAGTCATATTGAGGCAGTGCAGAAGTACAACCGGGAACCATTTCTTCGGCTTCTGTAGCCTTTTTGCCAGTTGTCGTGTGTGCACTGGAAGCAGCGTTGCCTTTCGAGAAATAAACATAGAGCGTTACCTTAGGGCGTTTCAGCAGAGCCATCGATGATGATGATCAAAACTTGCTGAAACACGCTGATTGATGCAGAACACGCACTACTCATCAACACTTGTTGGTAGCGTATTTCTAGTGGTGACCGCATTGCTATGGGAAGCAACGCGCTCAGCAATATTCGAGCAGTGACACTGAACGCGACAAAACACAACTTTAGCGACGACACATGACGGCTAGTAAAGTTTCGCCTTAAACACACTAGCACTCGTTTTTCCCCTGGCGAAACGATTCGAGGGTATACATTTCCTCCGCTTCTCTTCAGGTGCCGGCAAGGTCAGGCTCGCCCAGTATATTACTCTGCGCACGCAACGTCTCGCGTTTGTGATTGCGCCCCGGCAGAAGGCTGGTAGATTCTGTTGCGTTGTGATGTCACACCACAAACGTGAATGCACGAATGAGTTGATTCTAGTATGAATATTTCAACGACTCGCATCCGAATGCCCGAAACAGACAGCCGACAGACACAGATGTTGCCGAGTACAGCATAGGTAAACTCGTGTTGCATGCGCTGGCAGTTCTCGAGAAATATCACGGGTTTCAAAAAATCGATTATGGTGCACTATGCTCTGAACAAGGCCAGAGTTCATTACTTCATTCCTAGTTAACCAATCACTCGAGAATTTGAGTGGCACGAAGCTGCTCTGTTCACGCCTGCGCATATCACAAGTGATGTAAACAAAAACGCACATACTAGTTAAAATATTGTATGCATGGCATATCTATGCTGCACAGTCAAATAATCTGTACAGTTCGAAATCTGCTGACCTAAAGAAAAACATCGACTGCACGTTTGCAAACAACTCAAAACACCTTGCCGCAACGCTGTCGTTTCAGGAAGCAGAACGACAAAATCTACGAAAAAAAACGAGAACATTGCGTGCTTTTGCGCGTATTGAAGTTTTCGAGGGCATATACGCAGCGAACAACTTATTTCTATTTGAGTAGGTATAGTCTTGTCCAAGGCGAATTTCCGATTGAGACCAAGTGAATACTTCTCAACAATGATTACCTTGCCCTCAAAGATTACACGATAAAAGCTCTATGATTCGAGTGCTTGATTGCTATCAAATGCGACAATGCAACTGAAACGTCAACCAAGATTTCGAGGAAGTCTGCCCGAAAAATAACGCGTGCGAAATTGCGTTGCCAATGTGCAGCAAAACTTACAAAAAAATACCTTGTTGTGGATCGCAAGCATGCTTGGATGTGCGCAGTAAAGCAAATAATGTTGACTAAAAGGTATCACACCGTCAGGACTACTACATATAGAGCTTAACGTAAAAATCATTCCCATAGGGAAGCAGTCACAAACATTGACAATGAAGAATTATTTCCTCAGCAAAGTAAGCAGAACACAAATGTATTTACAAAAGTACAAAAGCACGCTGCGTATACCTCTCATTCCTCGTTATAAGCGGAGCTGTCCTTGACTTACGAAACGCACTTCGTCCCTACGACAACTACACCATTTACGCTTTAAAAACAATAACGATTAACGATGTCTTCTCAGATCGGGCGGGTCATCGCAATGACGCATTTTCGAAGGCTAGTCCATTCCATGGTGCGACAAGAGCACGTTGCTCCAAACAGTTGCTGTGCCTGTCGTTTACTGTGTTTCTTTGCGATTATACTTTACTTTTACTTGATCTCTTCACAAGCATGCACAAGTGGAGGGGGAAGTCTCATGACTTTGATATAAATACATACAGTCTGCTCAAACTACTGCCGAAAGTCACGTCACAGAGGAAAGCTGATGCATGTGTCTCCTTCGTCCCCTACCCCTCCACCCCTCCCCCCCTCCCCCCCCCCCCCGCAAAATGTTTCTGGCTACATCTCTGCCAGACACGATGCAGCTTGATGGTATCACAGCTGATGGCCCCGGCCTGCCGTAGTTTTTAGGCACATACATCTAGTAAACAACCAGCACCAAAGTTTAAACTAAACGTCACTTTTCATAAACCAGGCGAGTGTACCCATTCACATAGTTGTGGTGCAACTAAGCGGCTTTGAAGTTACGCTTCGCGCTTCCAGCAACATTTACAGGCGTCGTTGTGCCCGAAATACGCGATCTCGCTGCTTGATAAGGCTTCGCATGAACGTGTGGCGAATATGATGAAAACGCCCAATAATAGGCGCAAGTGCGAACAGAATTCTGAAGTGAACAAAGGCTCATTTTTTTTCTGAGTTGTGCACCTCGAGATTTCCTCACTTTTTATGTAGCTTTCGCGAAGGCTTTGCACGCCGTGCAGAGAGCATGCACGAAACGACCCTGATTGGACTAGAACGCTACTATTTTGTGGTACATATGAAAGTTTGTGTGGCATGCTGATATTACCCTTTTGAACCTGATCAATTATGAAATCACTATAAATTATCGGATCATAACCCATTTAATTATCAACAGTTGTACATATAGCATAATTCTGTGACTTTTCCGCACTATTCGCTGCAGACAATGCACGGACATTCAGTTCCGCACATATGATGGAAGGTCAAAAACTACGTGATATTGCTTGAAGAAACATGTCAAACAGATTTTTAGCGTAATATGGGGGAACCATGAAAAAAGAAAAATCGAGACAACGGCACACGCTAACTTTCAACTGAGCTTTATTGTGAAATGAAGCAAGATATACATATACTGACAGTGTTTAGATTGACTAGGCAAACCAATGAGCAAGCACGTGTTCAAACAGAGTTGACGTGGAAAGTGAAAGAAAAGAGTAATCGCATGCTCAAACCTACACCTACCCCCCTCCCCTTCGAAAAAAGTGAATTATTCATATAAACGCTACCTGCATATATATTTCCGTGAGCTACAATAAAGCTCAGCTAAAAGTCGTCGTCCCCTCTTGCCTTTCGTCAAGTTTCCGCCCTACTACGCTAAAGAAGATGCGTTATGTCATCAAGACCGAACGGGTATACGTCCTCCTGCATCCAACAGGTGCAGTAGTGTTTACTCGCCTCCTCCTCGGTGAGCTTGTTGAAGTTGTACTCCTGGCCGGTCATGATGTTGCGGGTGACAATGTCGACGTGTTGGTCGCGGTCAGGCCGCGTGTGCTCGTGCCAAAAGCCGACCACGTGGCCTAGCTCGTGCACCACGATGCCGAACTTGTCGCAGTTCTTGCCGATAGAGATGGCCTGTGCCCCGTTGCCCCGCTTTCCGACGAACGAGCAGCATCTGCAAAGGCAAAATGCAGGTTCGCTCTGTGAACATGCCACCCTGCACAGTGTCAATCTTAAGGTGGCTCAGCTTACACAGAGAGTATACGGTTGGCGTGGCGAGTTTTGTTGTTCAATCCAGCCAGGAGTAAAAATTTTCTGCGCTATACGGTGGGCCTGTTTCAGTGGATCACTCGCAGAAAACGTTTAGTTAGTGGCTTTTATGCTCCATTAGTACCTTCGTCCGTAATATTACTGAAATTGAATCGTATACACCCTAACGAATTCTATCATTCATGCCAGTGACATTACTTATGGCCACCTGCCACAGATCGTTATGATCCACCTGATCATATGGTAGACTTCAATTCTAGAACAACAACACATACATACTTTTTCGCCAAAAAACGTTTACTGGTTAGAGCATCGTTTTAACGAGAATTCCCGCAGATCATTCGCATTGTTGAAAAAACGCCAGGCCTGCCCGGAAAACGCAGCACAGTCACAGCGAAAATTAAAAAAGTGACCTTTCAGCGCCTTTTCAAAACACTCATTGGGTAACTAAATACTGCAAGCACACTTGCTTGATACTCAATAGGGCAATATTAACAATTGTTGTAGTAGGCCGGCATTTGCTATAATATTTTTCGTCATTCTACTGAGAAGCCTGGAATGCGCTAACCACTTGCAAGGAATATTGTGCCAATTGTGCCAATTAAACGTGGACGTTACCAAAGAATATCCGAGAACGTGTTTACAGTAGAAGGTTGGTTCGTAGCTTAAATACAAGAACAAACACTTGATGAAGTTTGATGACAAACCAACTTATTTTCGTCGCGACCAGTCGATATCAGAATCCCTTGTCGTTTCAGTAAATAAACATACAGTGAATTTTTCCACAAAAGTAAAGGCGTGAACGATTCTCACCTTGGCATTTTTTCTCTATTTTTATTATGTTCTTCTAAGAACGTTTCAGATACAGTTTCATGAATCCACGGAGTAAACTTCTGGTAATACAATTTTCTCGTATCATCTTACGCCGACAGAGCCTATTGAGCGGATCATCTCAATTTGTTTGGTTGGTTGCTAAACTTTATTGTGGTCCTGCAAGGTGCGCGTCAGCGCACAGCGGGTCACTCCCACGTCGGGACCATTAGGCCAAGCCTATCGGCCGCTCCGCGGGCCTGCTGGACGGCCCAAAGTTGGTCGGCCAAGAAGGAGCTGCGTAGGGCCGCCTCCCATCTGACCGAAGTAGTGTGGGGGTCAATGACATTGTCTTAAAATCCGAGACCATCTGCGCGAGTGTGGATACACCCCCACAAGCGGGGCAAGCGTCATTGGAGAACACGTCAGGATAAATAGCATGAAGGGATCTGAGGCTAAGGTGCATCTCGGTCTGCAGTAATCCGAGTTTAAGGGCCTGTGGCCTATTAAGTTTTGTATGAGGGAGTGGATATAGCGTTCACGCGAGGTAAAATGTTTTGTTATTTCGTGGTACGTGGCAGACGCGTCCCTGTTTTTTCAACCCCATTTTCCCCAAATCGTTGCCCGGCACCGGCACGGTTGGTTAGCGCGCGAGCGGTCCCGTGGGCAGACTTGTTGAGGTTGGAGGGAGTGCCTTGAACTTGTCCAACATGTGCACGAAACCAGATCAGTACGTGATGCTTGATACCGTCGCGGCCGCCACTCTGGAGCACGCGCAGGGCATTCTTCAAGACGACACCACGCCCGAAAGCGTGAATAGCTGACCTAGTGTCACTATACACTCCGTGCGAACCTATAGGGGGCGCCTTGAAAGGCGTGCGCAGCGCCACTTGTGGTGTGGTGGGCGTGAAACGTTGAGAGTCGTATCAGACAGCAGCACCTAATTGCTTTGAAAGCTATGGTGGCACAAGCGCCCGTGACCGGCGGGTTAGTGCGTGCTTTGAGCAGAATTTAAAGATATCGCAGGGGGACAATTTTCCGCGATGCCACCATGAATAAATGGGAAAACCTTCACGAAAGCGGCCACGTTTTTTTTGCGTTAGTGAGCGCTTTGCTGCCCATCACCAGGAATGACGGCTAAACGCGTGTGTCAGCTGTGCGTAGTGCATGAGGCTTGCTGCATAACTATCACTGCAATCTGTCATTCTTTCGAACTTAGATTATTGTCGGTGGGCAACTTGCCCACTACTCGCGTACTTGCAAAATACTCGGAGCAAATAGAAATATCGATGGCTCCACGGCCACTCGCCGTAGAAACTGGCGTGCTAGTTTGTTGCGGCGTCGTGCCACGGCGATTATCAGCCGCCGAGTCTCGTGAAGTGCTTTGCTTGAAATTGTCGCGGCATCATTGCCACTCATCATGGTCATAGTCATTACCGCACCGCTTCCGCAGCTTATGCTAGAAGCTTGAGGCGCGGGCTAGAAACAGAACGCGAGAAGATTTAGTCCAGAGAGGACGGCGCATGCCCCGTCCCATCTTTCGCTTCACCTTGTAGAGTGCTGACGACGACGGCACGGTCACTTTGGCCACCATCACGTGTCTCTCATTTATTAAAACCTCTTGTGTTGTTTATGTTTTTTTCCTAAACAAACACAGACATGCACATCCGTCGCTACAGCATTCGCAAAGCATCGTTCCTTACCATGTATAGTTCATTTATACTCTATGCCCTGCATCATTTCTCCCTAACATGCAGATTGTTTAACACTCAAAGAAAAAGGTTTTTGAATGAACCAAATCTGAAAGATGGGATTCAATTCCTTACTTCTGCGGTTATTTGCTTTGGAGCTACAGCACTTCGTTTCAGACACAGGAGCCTTTGGGATGCCATTGCGATTTGCTAGGCGAGACGAAACGAATTGTAAAAGAATATAAGTGAAACTTATTCTTCAACGACATTACGTTTTTTTGTGAATTAAGCTAATAAATATTTAGACAATAATATATTGCTAATAATTTCGAGATGTATAAAGAAAATCATTTATTTAACAAGGCACCGTTGATTTCATGGCCGATGCCCCATGGTGACTTAGGCCAGTTTAATAAAGACCAACTAACCAACTGACGTTCTAACTTGATCCTATCGAGTGCGCATACAGTGCTGGGTGGCTACTTGTGTTTGCAGTAAAATGCTATGTAACTCATTTCGCCCCTTGAATGATAAATCCATCAACTCAGGAAAGCACTAATTGACCTCGCACTGAAATTCTCAAAACTGCAAACGCTACACGGCGAGGTAGTAATTATTATGGTCCATTAAAACGTTCTATCAGTTTTGATCTGAAATAAAATTTTCTGCATGCGTTTCTTTTGTCACCAGCCCTATAGGAGTAAGAACATCACGCAAGATCATCGCACCTGCAGAGGGTGTCTCAGACCGAATCAAGCGCGCATCGGCAGATTGCGAGACGGCAGACGAAATGGGAACTAAACACTTTTGACGTCCCACAGCAGTGATGCAATTATTTTGCTGCCGAATATAGCAGGGACACGTCGAGAAACTCTGAAACTTCGTTTTCGCAGGACGCGGCGTGTAGCTGTTGGTACACTCGACGACGCAGCAGTTCATGATTCAGATAAACTACGTGCTATCGAACGTTGAGAAGTGTTTTGTTCTGCTCGGGCTCTCAACGTTTGTCTTCTCTGACGGCCGCGTGGCGGTGCGCCCGTCTCAGCGCACGGAGTCTATATATGACCTCCCTTGCACCATCCAGGATGGCAAGAGCGATGGCCACTTGCTAGACAATAGTCAGATCGTCGGTGTGAACCAATGCGCAGTTGGTGATTTGCTGTTTGGAGTCGACGACGGCTGCGGAGAAGGCGCGACTCCCACGGTACGCTCCCGTGTCGACAAAGCTGATGCCGCACTCCTTACTGTGGATTTGCTTGAGAAGAGTGGCAGCTCTAGCCCGTCGCCTACCACGATTGTGCTCGGGATTGACATTCCTTTGGTATCGGTGCCACGGTGATGACGTCGCGAATCTCACGGGGCACCTATCTCATCTTGTCCTCCACTTTAGTGGGAGAGTGACCGAGCTCTTGGGGTATACGTCTGCCGGTCTGCGAGCTCGAAAGGCGCGTGAGCTGTGCCCACTCCTGCGCTTCGGCAATCTCCTCCAACGTATTGTGTACTCCGAGCTGGAGCTGGTGCTGGGTGAGCGTCCTGATCGGTATACCGGGGGCCCGCTTGGTAATCTTTCTGAGCAAGACGTTGATCTTGTCACGCTCGGCACGCTGCCAATTGTGCATGGCGCGATATGTGAAAAGTGGCAGAGCACAAAGGAATTGACTAGGAAGATTAGATTATCTTCCTTGAGGCCTTGGCGACGGTTGGCCACCCGCCGAACCAGCCGAACCACGTCGTTCGTCTCGCGGCGAGCTTGCACATAGTATTGCCGTTAAAACCATTGGACTCGGTGGTCATGCCAAGGACCCGAATGGAGTCGAATCTGGGTATTGCGCCACCGTCTCTCGTGTAGAGCGTGATATCACTCTTCGAGATCGGCTGCCAGTTTTTTGTCTTGGGCACTCGCCTAGTGGCTTGGTAGAAGAGGAGCTCGGATTTGTTTGGGGAACACCTCAGGCCTGTGGAACGAAGGTAATCTTCCGTGTTGCCTATGGCTTCCTGCAGGGAGCGCCCAACTTGCCCGTCGTTGCCACCTGTGCACAAAATGGTAATATCGTCTGCATAAATTGTGTGGTTAATGTCCTCGATTCATGAGAGCCTCTTGGACATCCCGACTATGACAAGGCTGAACATGGTGGGCGATGTGACTGACCCCTGCAGCGTACCGCGCCAGCCCTGCTCGATCTCCTCTGAGACGAGGTCTCCCACTCTGAGGGTGGCTCTCCTACTGAATTGAGAACAATTTGACATATTCGTAGAATCTTACTCTGGGGCCGAGCTCGGCAATCGACCGCAACACGAAAGAGTGAGTAACATTGTCGAAGGCTTTCTCTAAGTCGAGGCCGAGAATAGCCCCCACGTCTCGAGTGTTGCAGTCAATGACTAGGTGCTTGAGCAGCTTTATAGCGTCTTGCGTCAAATGCTTGGCCTGAAAACCAATATTTGTGTGCGCGTAGAGCCCATTGTCTTCCAGGTACCGAGTCAACCTAATGAGTACCACATGCTCAGCTACCTTTCCCACGCAGAATGTGAGCGAAATGGGGCGCATGTTGTCCAAGTTGGGTGGCCTCCCCGGCTTGGGAGTGAGCACGGTGAGTGCGACCTTCCACGGGTCGGGGACCTCGTCGCTCTTCCATGCCTCGTTGATGACTTCGGTGAGGTAGTCGATTGACGGGTCGTCGAAGATGCGCAAGATTATCTTAATGATTAAATTTAATTGGATCAGGTCATACTGCATTTATCAGCGCTTCATCTGTGGATAGCATTTGGTTGCCTTATAATCAGCATGTTTTTATTTTATTCTATGTGAAATAAATTAGAGACTCTCAATACTTAAGAATGATATGAAAAAAGTTCATCAAAAGAGTTCATCACGAGAAAATTCCCGCGAAAAAAAAGATTGAACTTAGTGTTGATCAGTTTGTGAGATTATGATAACGTGTACTTCTGATAATGATAACATGTATGCGCATAGAGAGTGCAACGAGACACGGCTTTTACACTAAACAGGGGGATGGAAACAAACGCGAAGAGCACGGCATGGTGTTTCTATGCCACACTGGCCTTAGATAGATGGTGAGCCTTTATTAGTTGTCCGGTAGATTAATGGGCCAGGCCAAAGTCTCCCATGTCGGTGCGTCCATGTGAATCAAAAATATTCTAGAATTGTTCGAGATTGTATCATGGATGACTCTATTAGCTTTTTATCACGATCCAGGCTACAGTTACTTGAAAACAAATGCGGAACACCAGCAAATGTTTATGCCACGCTGGTCACGTTTTCATCTCCATTATACGTACATGGCTGGGTAATATCTGCAGGTGTATGTTAAATAATGATATTTGTGGTTTAGCGTCCCAAAACCATAATATGATTATGAGAGACGCCGCAGGAGAGTGTTCCGGAAGTTTCGATCACCTGAGGTTCTTCGACGATCACGTAAATTTAAGTACATGGGCCTCGAGCACTTTCGCCTCTATCGAAACTGCCGCTGCCGCAGCCGGGATTCAACCCAGCGACCTTGGGATTAGCAGTGCAGCGCTATAACCACTAGACCATTGTGGTGGGGCTGGCATGTGCATGTTGAAATACTCGTTCTAATATTCAAACCATCCTTAGGAGCATACCAAAGCTGGTACTAACTCGTTATTGTAAAAGAAGTAAGGTATCAGATGTCATGAGGAAATAATTTATACTACACTGGCGAGTATTGATAAGGCGTAATTTATACTTCAAATTTCGCACAACGAATAGTGATCTTACATATGACCATGAGGGTATATAAAGGGGAGAAGATTTTCTCGCAACTGTGCTTGAGTTTTGCCGCCCTATTGATGCCGAGATATAGAAAGCGGCAACGTTTGTGTTTACTAACGTAGGAGTCATTTATCGTTGTCTTTCTATAGGCAGGCTTCAGATACTAAAGCTATACGACATCCAGTTTATTATAGCACTGTATTAAAAAAAACAGATATAGGTATACAGTAAGTTTATCTGAGGACAAAAGCAAAGTAAAACTTTCACGCCATGTACAGCACTGTGTCTTTGTAGGCGTCGGTGCCGGCTTTATTGTGTTGACAAGTGAAAATCGCGATTAATGCAAGTAACAAAGATAGTGGCAACGGGCCAGAATCAAGCCCAGGGATTGTGCGTGGAGAAAGGGTGTTTTTCGACAGAGCCGCAACTTCACTTGGAACTGTTCCGGAAAAAACTATACAAGCTTCATATAGGGCTAGGAATTGCGTTAGCACATGTAATATTGGGTGGCGGGAGTGTATAGAATCGCGCCACGTGCCAATACATCTGAAATGCACAATGTGCATGTGGTTTCAAGGCTCGCAATTCAAAAAGCACTCAGCACATTTAATGAACAACAGCAGCAATAACATCAACACAGCCTGTAGCCACGCAGGTGCGCGTGTTACTTTACGTACGCTTAGTGGGTGCGTCGCGAATTCGTAAAATGACAAATTATGACAAAGTGGGAACTTCGCAGTTGTACTTGCTCTGGCATGCACCTTAGGAGAATTCAAAACGACCACTGTTACATGCACAGACGTTGCTTTCTAATCGGCTTACTTCAGTTGTCAAGGCGAAGCCTGCAACACATTTCGACCACAGTCAGAAAATTCTGCCGATCGGTATATGGTCAAGATGCCTTCCAAAAACACATGAGCCAAGTAATAAATCACTGCATGCGGCCTGGAAATCGTAATAAATTCTCAAATTCAGCAAAAATTGCTTTATCTTCTCTCCGCAAATAACGCCACAAGCTCAAAAATCACTCGCCACCGCCATTGTATGAACCACTGGCTGAGCTAGCGTTCTCCGTCATTACTGGGGCCGCAGCGCGAGTCACCACTTGCACGCGCGTATTCTGAAAAAAAAAGTGCACAAGGTGACGAGGCGCACGTGACGTATTTTCTTTCTCTTTGCAATCCCTCTTTTTTTAGCTTTCAGCGCTTTCAACTAGGCGAGTGAAGAGAGAATGCAATTGTAGCGTGCGACGAATATTTTGTAACTCCCCTCGATCGTACGGTACCAATTAAAAAAACTGTCGGTGGTTAATTCGTGAAGCTATAGGCTCATTTAGAGAATCCATCGCATGACTACCTGAAAAAGTGTTGCAGGGCGCCTTTAAGGCCATGCGAAGTGGGTCCGCTAATTGTTATGTCTCTTTCATTTTCCCTCCTCTGTGACATGTCACGTTGTCCAACAAATTGATTCTTGATCTAAAAGTGTGATTATTAGTATTATTATTCCACGTCACGAACCCTCCCACGTTCCCCCATTGGGGCTTGAACTCACCCGCAGGGCCTCTCGGTGAAGACGATGTAGTGTTGGTGCTCCATTCCACGCTCCACGAACTTTATGCACGTGTGGTTCTCCCAATGGCGCATCGCCTGCTTGAAAAGCGCTCGGTGGTCCCCTGCAGACACCAGCAGCACCCATCACGTCATGTGCCGTCGCTGATAAATACAACACAGCGGTTCAACATTAACGCAGTGCCAGACAGCTGTTCATCACCTAAGCGTAAAAGCTCCTCAAGCACAACAAAGGACTGCAGCCGCATAGCCTGTACCACAGAGTTCGAGTGTGTGTGTAACGGCAGATGAGTGCAGTGTGGTTGATCTGGTTCGCGATGTTGTTTCCTTCACCGCAACGAACTATATCAATGAACACACATTATTTCGCTCATGCTCGACCCGTTGCCTTGAATGATTGGCACGGGATTCTGACACTTTACGCCCTGTTCTAAAACAAATATGCAAACGTTTTGCCCTCGGATTGATGCCATGTCGACATGGAGAGAGGCTATGCAGACGTGTTATAACGTCATAATATATTCTGTGATGTGTGTTCGCGCACCCTCCTTGGTTGTCGAAAGAGATGTCAGCTGCAGCAGACGCACTTTCTCTTCATTTGTTGTTGTTGCTTCTTTGACACTCAAGCTGACACGAGAAAGTTGTTCCTTCTGTCGAGTGTACCTTTATCGTCGGTGCAGTCAGGGCAATGGGTTGT